GTATATGGTGATTTCGGGCGAGTTGTCTCCTCATGGGAGTTGTCTCGCTGCGGGTTGTAGTATCGAGCGAGTTGGCTCTTCGAGAGAGTTGTCTTGAGCGAAGTTGTAGGAGCATTGGATGATGCGCGATTTAGGCGCGTTTGGATTGAGGTTGCTCTGAGCGAGTTGTCTCCTCGTGGGAGTTGTTTCGCAGCGAGTCTTATTATCGAGCGAGGTGGTTGCACGTGGGAGTTGCCTTGCAACGGATTTGTAGTATCGAGCGAGTTGGCTCCTCGTGGGAGTTGTCCCGCTGCGGGTTGGGGTACCGATCGAGTTGTCTCCTCGTGGGAGTTATCTTGCTGTAGGTTGTAGTACCGAGCGACTTGGCTCCTCGTGGGAGTAATCTCGCTGCGGGTCATAGGATGGAGCGAGTGGTCTCCTCGTAGGAGTTATCTCGTTGTGGTTTTGAGACCCGAGGGGGTTGGCTCCTCGTGGGAGTTTCCTTGTAAGGGGTTGTAGGACCGAGCGAGTTTTGCTCCTCGTGGGAGTTGTCTCGCGGTGGGTTGTATTACTGCGCAAGTTGGCTCCTCGTGGGAGTTATCTCGCAACGGGTTAGAGGACGGAGCGAGTGGTCTCCTCGTGGGAGTTATCTCGCTATGGTTTCGTAGACCCGAGGGAGTTGGCTCCTCGTGGGAGTTGTCTCGCTGCGGGTTGTAGGATGGAGCGAGTGGTCTCCTCGTGGGAGTTGTCTCGCTATGTGTTGTAGGATAGAGCGAGCTGTCTCCTCGTGGGAGTTATCTCGCAACGGGTTAGAGGACGGAGCGAGTGGTCTCCTCGTGGGAATTATCTCGCTATGGTTTCGTAGACCCGAGGGAGTTGGCTCCTCGTGGGAGTTGTCTCGCTGCGGGTTGTAGGATGGAGCGAGTGGTCTCCTCGTGGGAGTTGTCTCGCTGCGGGTGGTAGTATTGAGCGAGTTGGCTCCTCGTGGGAGTTGTCTCGCAAGCCCCCCACTCTCGAGACGATGTGGGAGCCAAGTAGAAAGGGGTACCGGATCGTATTGAGAGTAGATCGGTGTTGTAGTCTTGCGTTAATCGCTAGCATGGTGTGGATAATTTTTTTTTTTTTTTTTAACGTAATTTGGTAGGTGCGTTCAAGAGCTCGCGTCATCTGGTGGAGCGCGTTGAAATTCTCGCGCGATTTGGTAAAGCGAGGTGAAAACGGCATGCGATTTGGTGGTGCATAGTGCAAA